AGGGAAGGGAAAAAACAGAGGGAAACAAAAATGGCAGGGAAAAAATCGTGAGGGGAAAAACGTCGGGAAAAAATCGTGAGGGGAAAAACGTCGGGAAAAAATCGTGAGGGAAAAAAGGCGGCACAGCTCTGGATTTTCCAGGAATGGCAGCAGGGCTGGGCACGGCAAACACTGCTCAGCTCCACTTATCCCCATTTTATTCCTATGGAGGAAGGAGACTGTGGCATTCCTGAATTCCCAGAGCTGAATTCCCAACATTCCCTGAGCCCATGGGCACAAAAGGCTGGGATTGGAAGGGATCCTAAGGATTATCCCATTCCATGGGCAGGGAATTCCCACTGCTCCAGGGTGCTCCAGCCTGGCCTTGGGCACTGCCAGGGATAATCCAGGGGCAGCCACAGCTGCTCTGGGAATTCCATCCCAGCCAGGAATTCCTAATTCCCAATCTCCCATCCATCCCTGCCCTCTGGCAGTGGGAGCCATTCCCTGTGTCCTGTCCCTCCATCCCTTGTCCCCAGTCCCTCTCCAGCTCTCCTGGAGTTCCTCCAGGCCCTGCCAGGGGCTCTGAGTTTTCCATGGATTTTTCCCTTCTCCAGGTGAACATTCCCAGCTCCCTCAGGCTTTCCTCACGGAGCTGCTCCATCCTTCCAATGAAAAACCCAGTCTCATTTCCCGAAGACCTCCCCCAGGAATTCCATGCCCACCAAAGCATTCCCAGCTCCGGGACCGTTCCCATTCCGAACCTGTCGGCCACATCCATGTCCCCCTCGATCTTGTGGAGTCCCCTCATGATGTTGTCGAACTGTTCCCCCTGGGAATGCAGCACCTTGGCCGTGTCCTCCAGGCGTTTCTGGGATCCCTCCAACATTCCCGTCAACTCCTTGCCCTTGCTGGATTCCAGAGCCGCTCCCGCTCCGGCCTCCCGGCTGGACAGCAGCTGCTCCCTCCAGAAATGCTCCAGGATGTTGAACACCACATTCCTGTTGGGATGCAGGGAGCTGAACCAGTGCTTGGTGCTCTTCTCCAGGATGGTGAGGGAGCTGAAGATTAAATGGGAAGATTCCTTCTTGATCTCGCTGATCCCGGAAAGGTGGAAATCCACCAGGAGCTCTCCCGTTTTGTCAGCCGTGAATTTGATGGAAACGGGAGTCAGGGAGAGCTTCCCAGGGATCCATTGTTTGCTGGTGTCCAGGTAGTAGGAGCAAGGCCAGGAATGGATCCGGATGTCCTCGTTCATCAGCTCGCTCTTCCCGGCCTCCTCTCCCAGGGAAATGCTCTTCGATCCAGCAGGAGACACTAAAATCCAAGGGGGAAAAAAAAAGCAGGAATCCTGAAAAAACACACATGAATTCATCTGGCTCCTGGCTCTTTTCAGCTGGATAGCCAAGGAATTTGGGAAGCATTTCTAACCACAGGAATATCTGCTCTGGAAAAGCCCATCATGCGTTTTCCCAAGAATTCCATTCATATCCCGGAATATTCCCATTCCCAGCTCATCCTCAGCTTCCCACATCCTCAACAGGCACTGAGGAAAATCCCAGGTATCCCAAAATTCCGTATTTCCTCAGGAAAAGCCCATCAACATCACTGGCCATGCATTTTCCCAATAATTCCATCCACATCCTGGAATATTCCCATTCCCAGCTCATCCCAGCCTCCCATAGACCAACAGGCACTGAGGAAAATCCCAGATATCCCAAAATTCCCAATTTCCTCTGAAAAAACCCATTAACACCACTTCCATGAGTTCTCCCAATAATTCCATCCATATACTGGAATATTCCAACTCCCAGCTCATCCTCAGCTTCCCACAGACCAACAGGTCCTGAAGAAAACCCAGGATATCCCAAAATTCCAGCTCATCCCTCTTTATAAATCCCTGCTCACTCCCTTCCCCCTCTGGCATTTCAACATCCAGGCACGTTAAGCACAATTCAGGAATTCTCCAGGAATTGTCAACATTCCTCAGGAATTCCTATTATTCTCCAAGATTTCCCCGTATTCTCCAGGAAATCCCAGTATTCTCCACAAATTCCCAGTATTCTCCAGGAAATCCCAGTATTCTCCAGGAAATCCCAGTATTCTCCAGGAAATCCCAGTATTCTCCAGGAAATCCCAGTATTCTCCGCATATTCCCAGTATTCTCCAGGAAATCCCAGTATTTTCTGCAAATTCCCAGTATTCTCCAGNTCCCAGTATTCTCCGCATATTCCCAGTATTCTCCAGGAAATCCCAGTATTTTCTGCAAATTCCCAGTATTCTCCAGTACAGTCCCAGTATTCTCAAGGTTTGTCAATATTCTCTGGAAATTCGCAGTATTCCACAGGAATTCCCAGTATTTTCCAGGATTTGTCAATATTCTCCAGGAAATCCCAGTGTTTTCTAGGAATTCCCAAAATTCCTCAGGAATTCCTTCCATCCAAAAAATCCCAACTTTGGAACGGTTTCTCTCCAGGCTTCCAGAAGTTTCTTGGAGCCAAGGGTTGGAATTTTCCTGGAATATCTTCCTCATGGCTGCGGATTCCAGCACCGAGACCTGGCTCCATCCCGGAATTAATTTGGGAATGCTGATGACATCACTGGGATTCCATTGCTCCACGATCCATCATCTTCTCCAAGGCTTTGGTATTCCACGGATGAATTCCAGGAGCTCTGGAATTCTGCTGTGCCATTAATGAGGTGCTCACTAATTACCCTCCTTAATTTCACACCAGCCTGCTCCCTCCAGGAAAAGTTGAGGAATTCTCAGGAAAACAAAAAAATTCTTCAGGAATGCTGAATTCCTGATCCCACCCTGAGATCTCCCAGCATTTTCAGGCTGCTCGATCATTAATTCCTTAAAAAGTTCACTTCCAGTGATTTTAAAAAATATTTTTTTTAGTAAATAATTTTAAGTTAAATAATTTTAGAATTATTTATTTTAATCAAACACACTCAAAATTTCAATATAATTAAGATAAGGATTAGATCACGCTATACACAAAAAAAATTCCTTTATTTGGATTGCATCCCTTATTTCCATAGATTTTTAATAACTTTTCTTCATCATTAATTTTAGAGACGGAAAAAAAAAAATCAGCCATAAATTGGCAAAAAAACCTGGAATTTAAAGTGAAAATTCTCCACCTCTTTTGATCCAGTAAATCCCTGGAGAAAATTGTGGGGACAGAGAGGGAACAAAATCACAGGAAAAATCGGATTTCGAAGAGTGGTTACAGCCAAGTTTTCAGCAAGGAAAAAATTCCAAAGGAAAATACAACTGAGGCTATTCTCAACATGAAAATTCCTTTAAAAATCAAGGATTTATATTTAATAAATTAAAATAAGTTCTTCCTGAGCCTTATCCCAAGTTTCCTATCTGGATTTGTATCCATGGAATTTTCAGGGAAGAATTTTTTCTCCTCAGGGAGGAATTTTCTCCCACAGGGTTTTTCAAGTTTTCA